ACAAGATTTATTGCCAAATATACGCCGCAAAGTATCAAAAACGCTCAGACGAAAGGCGCGTAACACTGAACCTTCATTATCACAAAGTCACATTGTTGATGGAACAACGTCTATGCAAACCATTTATGGTTCCAACCCATTGAATAAGGGCAGCAATATAAACAAGGATTTAAACGGAAATAATTCATTAAATGTCTATTCAGAACCGAAAGACTTTCTGCTTGTTTCGGACAAGTCTGATAGCGATGCTGTTATGCGTAAAAGGATCTCTGATTTAACAGCAACAACGGAAAATTTACGAAAGGATTTAAAGCAGATGAATAGCATCGTAAATGATCGTTTGCTTCCGGAAGTCAGGAGTTTGACCGAAGGTTTACAAAAACATCACACGCATTTGATAGCATTGACACAATTGGTTACCTGCGCTCTTCCAGATGGTAAATCTTTTATTAAGGAGTCGATTTTTTTGGGGGGTCGTTATCGTTAGGATGATTATTAACGTTTGATCTTGTTGTCTCTTTAGGTGTTCAATTGCTACATGATGTAACAAGAGGATTCACAAGGCACATGCCATATGAAATACCGTCAAAGCGTATGCGTTATGATGACAAGCCAACCGTCAAAACAGAACAGACATCCGTTCCAACGGTTCCCTCCTCAAGGGTTCCGTCAGCTTATAATTTATTCACATCAAATTCCGCTAATCCTAATAATAATTTAATGAATGGCAATAATTCTTCACCGACCCTTCAAACATCATCGGTCACCCCATCAGCACTTACAATACCGTCTGATTCGCAATCCACATTTAATAACACATCTATAATGGGAGAATTTCAACAAAGTCCTCATAATACACAACAGAATCTTGCAGGCTTTAACGAATCGTGGAATAATGCCACGTCCGTGATGATAACAGATCCCGTCAACACCGTTCCAAGTTCTAATATTCCTTATACCATGTTCCCAACAACGACCACCTCACAGTCTCCAATATTGTACTCACCTTCCTCAAATCAACAACATTCACCACCACTTTCACACCACTCGCAAGTACCATCTCGATCCTCTTCGATAGTAACATTGAGTCCCGAATATGTTGATAACTCAGCAAATTCGAATTCCAATGACATGCTCAACAATGCGCCTACTGTAACAAGTCCAACCCACATTAACGCGAGTGGTGCGAATAGTCCGGTTAACCGAGGAGATGTTGTTGTTGCACCTTCTCCGACCTCAAGTTCATCATCCCCAATATCCA